TTTATAAGTATGAATTGGATATACCCCAAAAAGCCAGCGAAGTTCTTGGAGTCAGAGACTGTAGTCCAGTCTGTCCAGACAGCTCGGGATTGAAGTCAAACAAACTCCAACTTCATTTCCACTAACTCCAAATCTTCACCAAGCTTCATTTCTCTTGGTCTTCTTGTTTATATTACTAACTAAACTACAATTCAGAATCTGAACACAGCTTGCTTATCCATTTCCTTTTACAATAAGCTATCCCATTGGCCATTATTCTTTGATCAAAATCTTCAGCGAGAGCACAGAGTCCTGACATTTCTCAGCTTCTGAACTGTCCTACTGCACCATAATCACAAACCCATTTTTTGAATTTCATGGGTAAAGGAGGTGGTTGTGTGCCAAGTAAGAACAGGCCACCCAAAGGCGTTTCTGATAAAGATCTTCAAAACCCAGAAAGCGATGGTCCTGTTTCAGACCAAAACCAAACCCAAACCACACAAACAAACCCAATTGACCATGCGATTGCACAAAGACAGCTGAGGGTTTTCATAGTGTTTTACTCAATGTATGGGCATGTGGAGGTCTTGGCCAGGAGGATGAAAAAAGGGGTTGATTCCATTGATGGGGTTGAAGGGTTTCTGTACCGGGTTCCGGAGACGCTGTCCTCTGAAGTATTGGAGCAGATGAAGGTGCCCAAGAAAGATGGTAATGCAGATGAAGTGCCTGTGATATTGGCTGAGAGGTTGGTGGAGGCTGACGGGCTCTTATTCGGGTTTCCGACCCGGTATGGATCCATGGCTGCTCAGATGAAAGCCTTTTTTGACTCCACAGGGCACTTGTGGAGGGAGCAGAGGCTTGCAGGTGTGCCTGCTGGGTTCTTTGTGAGTACTGGCACACAGGGTGGGGGGCAAGAGACCACTGCGTAAGTAAGACACCCTTGGTTTTTGTTTTTTAGTACATTGTTTCAAGAGTTGTGCTTTATTTTCTTCATGTTGGTTTTGGTGAATTTTGATTTGTTGGTATGCTGATATGAGTATTGTGCACTTTTTGATTTGTCAGTAGCATAAGATGAATTGGAAGTTGATATGTCAGAAAAAATATATTATTTCTATTTGTTATGTGTAATTAGCACGAGCATTGGAGTTTGTATCTGAGCATTACTTGTATTATATGTAGATATCATATAGTGGTTGGTAGCTTTTCAATTTTCGATGTAGTTCCAATTTGATTTCAGAGAACAGAGAAGTGAAAGTATCACATGAAGGAGTGTACCGGGTACCTACAAAAATTTCTCCACATGAAGTGTGCCTTCCTGAGTAGTAATTGGTCTTTTGAATTGCTTTGAAATGAGTGAGAGTTGGTAGCTTTCCAATTTTAGATGTAGTTCCAATTTGATTTCAGAGAACAGAAAAGTGAAAGTATCACATTAAGTGTTGTTTCCTGAGTAGGGTAATTTGTCTTTTGAATTGCTTTGAAATGAGTGAGAGAAGGGGGTTGGATGTCAAGGTTCTCATATAGTTCATCCATGGGATGTGAAATGAAGGAAATTTCAACCCCTTTTCGAGACATCTCCTTTGGGTATAAATTATAAGGTGCTTGAATAAGAAACTTGTTTATTTAATTAGGTTACCAAATATTACAAAACTCGTTTTGTATTTCATGAGGTTATCTGAAAACTGTTGGAGATATTACAAAAGGTGCCCAAGAATTACATCCCGAATGAGGGACTCTTTGCAAACTTCGTCATTGTCGGAC